TGGACTTTTAAAGTTCCATATTTCATTGATCTGATTTGTCTTTATTTTGCTTTACTATACAGAAAATTCAAAAAATTAAATACCACCACAAGGATGTAATCAGACAAATACACAAGAGAATATTCTACAAACTTACTTACTCGAAATGTGGTCAAAAGAATAATATGAGTAAGCACAGGTGCTAGACAAGCACAATCTCAGGTCCATGGCAGACCTGAACTGATGACAGTCAGCATTTTAACAAAATCTCTCAGGAGTGTTTTTTATGAACACTGAAGTTTAAGAAGTTCCTTTCTTTTTTAATTTTTATTTATTATTTTTGACAGGCAGAGTGGACAGTGAGAGAGACAGAGAGAAAGGTCTTCCTTTTGCCATTGGTTCACCCTCCAATGACCGCCGCAGCCGCATGCTGCGGCCGCTGCACTGTGCTGTTCCCAAGCCTGGAGCCAGGTGCTTCCCCTGGTCTCCCATGTGGGTGCAGGGCCCAAGGACTTGGGTCATCCTCCACTGCACTCCTGGGCCACAGCAGAGAGCTGGCCTGGAAGAGGGGCAACCGGGACAGAATCCAGCGCCCCGACAGGGAACAGAACCTGGTGTGTCAGTGCTGCAGGTGGAGGATTAGCCTAATGAGCCATGGCACCGCCGAGAAGTTCCTTTCAATAGTTCCACCCATCCAGATTCTTCAAGTCAATGGTTAGGAGGTAAAAGAGAAGAAGGAATTATTTTAGATTGAAATGAACATGCAGAAAAATATGAGAAGTCATGGAGGGATAATTAAGGAGATTAAAATATACTAGTTATCTGATGATGTTATAGAATCATTATTTATTTTGTTAGTTGCGACAATTATACCATGATTGAACATGAAACGGTCCTTATCTACATAGGAATAGAATATTAAATATCTTCATTGTGTTTCAAAATCAAATTTACCTAAGAAATATATCGAGCAAATATGGCAAAATAATAATGGTTAAATCCATGTGCTTGGCATACGGGTTCCTTATACTAAGATATTCATTCATCTTTTACACTAAAAGTCTTCACAATAAAAAGTTTGGGAGTCCTAAGCACAATATTTTTTTTCCTGGATTGGATTCCATTAAAAGGTTACATAAAATCACCCTTTGTGTCAAAGTGAGGCTTAAGGTTATTTCAGAAAATGAATCAATAGATTTTGCATTGTAGAATAATCCAGAAAGTAGGTCTATTGTCATATGATTCTTCTCCATCAACTTGGTAAATAGATCCACAAGGAAACCATTCACAGATTTCTCAAAATACAGATCTCCATAAATCCCACGTTGCAAAGCTCACCTGAATAAATATGCTAACCATACTAAGTTACAGAAGAACACCATCCTGTGTCTTCACTGTTGTAGCCATATGACCTCTCATTCTGGACTCGGCTGACAAGCTGGGTCCCGATCCTAGCAAATTCTACCTTCTGAATGATAGAGGTACAAGTGCTGACTGAGCTTTTCTTAAATAACAGTATAATCCCGTAGCCAATACATTGATTCTTTAAAGTTATTTCCATTAGATTAAGCACTAGAAAAAGGGTCACATGCTTAGAGCTTATGACATTCACATAGACCCGGACACTTACATCACCATCTGTCTCATGCTGAGAGTTTCTTGCTATAATTCTTCCTTCAGTGACTTGACTTGCAACAGCGGAACACTGCATTCATCACCGAGGTGAAGAATATGCATAATGTGTCTTCATTGAAATGAGGAGACACTTTGGGGCTCATTAGTTGCTTTTCATCACTGCTCCTGAATCCCATGTTGTAGGTGATGAGCATGAAGACCTTTGTCATCTTCTACTATTGTTCTCCATCAACTGTTCAAAGCTTCAGGCAGAGGAGTCACCTTGCCTTCCACAGCCCTGCTCCATTCTATTCTCTGCCTCTTGGATTAATAGTTCTACTGTGGGAGGCAGCGCTGTAGGGTAGTAGGCTAAGCCTCCGCCTGGCCTGCAGTGCTGGCATTCCATATGGGTGCTGGTTCCTATCCTGGCTGCTCCCCTTCTGATCCAGCTCTCTGCTGTGGCTGCACCCACGTGGGAGACACCGAAGTTCCTGGGTCCTGGCTTCAGATTGGCCCAGCTACAGCTGTTGCAGCCATTTGGGGAGTGAGCCAGTAGGTGGAAGTCCTTTCTCTTTGTATCTCCCTCCCTCTGTCTGTAACTCCACCTCTCAAATAAGAAAAAAATAAAAAAAAATTATATTGTGAATAAAAATTAAATGGGCTTATAAACTACTGCATAAAATGAGATTGTGATTCTAAAAATCAAGAATTACTGTATTTGGGAAGTAGTTTACCAGTTAATTAGTAGAAATATAGATAAAAAGAAAGTGCTAGGAAAGTATTACAAAGGTGTGTTTCATGATTTCTCAAGTTTCAAGATAGTAAGATCAGTGTCAAGTAAAAAACAATCTAAAGAAAAAGGAATTAAAAATGTTTACAGATTTGGGAATGTTTGAATTCATTCTCTTTGGGTGCTAGTTGTGGTGTGTATTTCGTCATTTTGTTGCTAAAGAAATTATACACCGTTTATATGAGTGTGGAATGCAATGCATAATCCCGCAGTGCAACCTGTTAATTTATAAAGTTACTTCAATTTATTTCCTTTTCAAGTGGTGGATGATAAGTGACAAAGTGTTGACATATCCTTTATGGTTTCCTAGTGCATTCTGTACAAAAGGGAGAAAGTACCATTAGACATGCAAAAACTGATACAGAGAACTGCACACCACCTACTTAATGAAAACATCAAAGAATGTGTTATATGATTTGTTATTATTACAATCACTATAAGACTTTTCCTTAAATTATTCTTAGGATATTTATTAAGTCAAATAAAAGTCATATTTATTTTGAAGAGTAAGAATGATTGATAATGTTTAGAAAAATATCACGACGGTTATCTGGATTTTGTGATTTATGTCACAAAATTTATGTCACAGTATTTGGGAAGAGTTTTAAAAGTCTCTTTGGTCACATACTACAATTGAAATAATCTTCCATGTTTAGAATGATGTGAATAACGGATTTTAGTTAATTTTCTAAAGAAAAAATTATAAGTATTTCTATCAATGTGGGTCAGGCTATTCTACAGTAGGATTAAGAAAAATGTTGCCGCTGCCAGTTCCTGCACTGTGTCATAGTAGGTAAAGCCACCACCTGCAATGCCAGCATCCCATATGGGTGCCAGTTCAAGTCCTGGATGCTCCACTTCCTATCCAACTCCCTGCTATGGCCTAGGAAAGCAGTAGAAGATGGCCCGAGTGCTTGGGTCCCTACACCCACATGGAGACCCAGAGGAAGCTCCTCTCTCTGGAAGCTTTGGATTGGCCCAGCTCCGACCATTATGTCTATTTAGGGAGTGAACCAGAGGATGGAAAACCTCTCTCACTCTCTCTGCCCCTTCCTCTGCCTCTGCCTCTCTGTAACTCTGCCTTTCAAATAAATGAAAAAAATTCTTCAAAAATAAAATGTTGCCTAAGTGAGTTTTGTTTCCTTACCCCCTTTTTATCTTTCCTGTAAATATCTGAAATATTTACAAGCTATTCAGAAATCAATGAGAGCTCTCTCCATATCAAACTCTCTTTTTCAAATGTGTCTTGCCTGACCTAGAGGAACATGAGGTCAACATAGGAACACAATTTATGGATGGGAAGAGGTGAAGACCACATTTCACATAATCAATGATGCAAAAATTGTGAGACAGTTTCTGCACTGAATAACCAATGATGCCTCTTTTAAGCAGAGAATGTGACTACATTTTGTAAGTGTAATTGAAGTTTTATTTCTCATATAAAAATTTCTTACCCTTTAAAGAGGAGAAATTATCATTGTATTTTGGACCTGAAGTCATGGATGAATTATGGTACCTTTATAATTTTGTTTAGTGAGCCATTTACTCTCTTGAAGTCCATGCCACAATTGATAATCCCATGAATTTAATTCCATGGGCCACTGCTCTCATTGAAAATATGATTTAGAAACAGAGAGACATGTAAACAATTACAATAACATTCTTCTTGAAGAATAGAGAAGGACACACATCAAAACGTGAATGTTATAAAAACAGAGTTGGAGGTTTTGTTGTGGGATAACTTCACAATCAACTCAAGGGATAAGTTAAGATGAAAAAATCCAATAATCAAAATATTTAGAAAAATTATGGCTAAAGTATATTTCTAAATGAATTAATATTTGACTATTCCATTAGAATGTATGATCAAAGGCCTGGTGTTTGTTGTGGTGTATGGATAAAGCCACTGCCTGAATGCTTGCATCCCATGTAGGCATTAGTTCTGTCCCGGCTTCTTCACTTCCAATCCAGCTTCTTGCTAATGGCCTGAGAGAAGTAGCAGAAAATGGCCCAATTGCTTGGGCCTCTGCCACTCACATAGGAGATCTGGAAGAAGCTACTGCCTTTTGGCTTCTGCCTGGCCCAGCCCTGGTCACTGTGGCTATCCGGGGCATGAACCAGTGGATGAAAGACATATCTCTCTCTCTCCCCCCACCATTGTCTTTCCCTTTCTCTCTGTAACTCTAACATCAAATATATAAATGTACTTTTATTTTAAAAAGTTAGCTCAATGAGGAACCATGGAGAATACTTTAATTTCTGCTATACCACAGTGTCTTACACAGATTTTTGATGAATAAATATTAAACTGAAGCTCAAATACCTAATACATAGCAAAAATATCATTGATTAAAAATATTCAAGTTATATAGTTCAGTAGGTAATTATAATTTCAGGTGGAGCACTTATTTAAAAGTCATATATATTTATATTATTTGTATATACTGTGTAAATCAATAAACATATAAATTAAAGACAGAAAATCATGAATGAGAGTGGACATGTAACCGAAGTTAGCACTATGTCCCACATCTGAACACCTGGGTTTGATTCCCACATTCCAGTTGCTGACTTCAGTTTCTTGCTGAAGGAGGAATGATCCCGGGAGGCAGCAATGATGGAGCAAGTAACGGGATTCCTTTCATCTACACGGGAGATGTACATTGTGTTTCCAGCTCTCGACTTAGGCCTCAGTCTTGCTCCAGACCCAGAAATTGAGGGCTTTTGGAATGTAAACCAGCCGATCAGCAGATGAGAACTCCATCTCTCTCTCTCTCTCTCTCTCTGTGTGTGTGTGTGTGTGTGTCTTTGTCTCTTAAATAATAAGAAATTTTATAAAAAAAAAAAAAAAAACAACTCAATTCATGAATGCAGTCTAGCAGAGGTGCTTCAAAAAAAACCCCTCTAGGGCATTGTGGTACAGCAGGTTGAATGGCCGCTTCTGACACCATCATCCCATATTGGAGAACCAACTGAAGTCTCAGTTACTCTGTTTCTAATCCAATTCTCTGCTAATGCAAGTTAGAAAGCAGTAGAAGATGGTTCAAGTACTTCGGACCTGTCATGTCAGAGACCAGAGTGGAGTTCTGGGCTCTTGGCTTTGCCAGGCCCTGACTTGGTTGCATCAGCCATTTGGGGAATGAACCAGGGGATGATAGAGTCCCCCTTTTTATCACTTTGCCCTTCAGATAAATAAAATAAATCTTTAAAAAGTGGCACATCCTCTGGTTTGATGGTGATAAAACCAATTTCTATTTTTATAAATATAGTGACAGTGGCAAATTATGAATTTGGAGTACTTGCTCTTACTGGCTTTGGTTTAATAGTTTTACATCTCTGACATTAATTTAATACTGAGGCAATTGTGATAATTTGATATCATGATTCTTACAAATGAGAAAACATGGAGGCTGTAAACAATCATCGAATCTCAAAATATCAATTTCACTCCTATATATTGCATCTACTGCTGATGAACAGTTTTTATTTTTTATTCTTACTACTTGTTGAACTCTTCACTCATTGTAGGATTAATCATATGAGTATGAAGGAGGAGGAAGTGTAGGAGTGTGGGCAGGAGGCAGGGTAGGCTGGGAAGTATCACTCTGTTCCGGCATCTGTACATATGAGATAAATGAAATTTGTTTACCTTAAATAAGATAGAAACAAATGAGAAAACTGAGATACGTATGATCTAGTGATTTGCTTATTTACTGACTGAAGCAGGACTCGCACATAAATTGGTAGATTCTAAAGTATGTATTTTACTTATTGTAGGATAATGCCTTAATTAGAGCAATGATGCTTATGATGAAATCCATGACTACAGTGACAAATAGGTAACATTTCTTGAACATTTGGTTTTTGTGAGGCACTCTGCAAAGTGCTAAATGTTTATTACAACAATGCTTTATTATATTTAAAAACTCAAATTTTGAGATAGTGCTACTTTTATCACACCCACTTTAATGAAGAAACTAAAGTGTAGTGTGCTCACATTCACACATTTAGGAAGTTCCCAAATGTAAATGTTTAATTTGGTTTGAGGTAATGCCAGTATCACTTTTATTTAGCAAAACATGCTCTTGGGAGATTGAAAGCACTGCTAAAACTACAGAAAAAGTACTACATCTTTTTCAAATTGAGTACTGGCTCTAATAAATCTACCCAGGAAAGCACGTTTTCATATGATTTCAAAAATGAAGTTTTGAGGAGGCTTATTCTATATTCCTGTCCCTGCCGTGTCTCATGGTTCTACACACTCAGACACATACATATACACATATACACACATACAAACATGCTAGGAAGGGTTTCTGTAGGCCATAACATATACACAATATACTTTAAGGGCTGGCGCCTGGCTTCATGGGTAAAGCCACCACCTGCAATGCCAGCATCCCATATTGGCGGTGGTTCAAGCCCCAGCTACTCCACTTCCAATTCAGCTCTCTGGTATGGTCTGAGAAGCAGTGGAAGATAGCCCATGTCTTTGGGTCCGTGTGCCTGCATGGGAGACGCTGAAGGATCTTCTGGCTCCTGGCTTCGGATCTGCCCAGCCCCAGCCATTGCGTCCATTTGGGGAGGGAACCAGCGGAAAGATCTTTCTCATTCTCTGCCTCTGCCTCTCTGTAACGCTGACTTTCAAATAAATAAATAAATAAATAAATCTTTAAAAGATATATACTGTAGCTTTCTACTACTCAAAATAGCAAATCACACAGGCCGGCGCCGTGGCTCACTAGGCTAATCCTCTGCCTTGCGGCCCCGGCACACTGGGTTCTGGTCCCGGTCGGGGCGCCGGATTCTGTCCCAGTTGCCCTTCTTCCAGGCCAGCTCTCTGCTGTGGCCAGGGAGTGCAGTGGAGGATGGCCCAAGTGCTTGGGCCCTGCACCCCATGGGAGACCAGGAGAAGCACCTGGCTCCTGCCATCGGATCAGCGCGGTGCGCCGGCCGCAGCGCGCTGGCCACAGCAGCCATTGGAGGGTGAACCAACGGCAAAGGAAGACCTTTCTCTCTCTCTCTCTCTCTCTCTCTCTCTCTCTCACTGTCCTCTCTGCCTGTCAAAAAATTTAAAAAAAATGAAAATAGCAAATCACTGAATTACATAAATGTCAAATAAACATTAATTTCAGTTTTGATGAAGTATGAAAATCTCAATAAGTAAGGCAGAATAATTTAAAAGAGAGACAAAACACAAAATCAGAGAATTTTCTGATTACAAAAGACCTGAAAACTGTTCTCATTTTTAATATCTCTTATACTTTAATCAGTCTACAACATCTTCAATGCTTTACAAATCAAGCTGTTCTATTTTCAGAAGGCTGTAATTGTTACGTATGTCTTCCCTGTGATGCAGTAAGTCTTTGTTCCTATGGCTTCCATTCTTTGAGTAACTTTCCTCTCTGAGACAATACAGATAAAGGTTATTTCCTCTCCTGTAAAGACATCCTGAACCTTAGATTTTCCTCTTGAGTTCAGTACTCCTGGTTTCCCAGTTGTGGGAACTCTCATCTTTATTTCTCCATACTGGCTGAACATTCTGTGACTTTGGTCTTCCGGTCCCTATATTTTAATTCTCTACTATGCTCACATTTGCTTATTCATTGACTTTCACAGGTGAATACTATTTCAACCCTGGCACAACTAACCAGCATGAAATTTCAAAGAGGGTGAGTTAGAGTAAGATATCTGAATTATGCCATAAAAAGACAATCTTGAGTAGAACTGTAGAGTGTGTAAAAGAGTCTGTAAATCTTTGCAATTTCTTCTATAAGGGGAGTCACATTCCCATCTCCTTAAATCTAGTAAGCTCGTGACTTGCCCAGTACTGCAAAAGCTATATCCTATCAGCACCAACCCTGTATCTGAGGGGGCTTTGTGTAGGCACTCTTTCTTTTGCAAGACTTGTCTGGAGCTCAGCTGTGCTGAGGCGAGTTGAGCTGAACTGCTAGGTGTGAAAGTAGTCGGTCAAGACAACACACCAAAATGTCACAAACATTTAATCATTCATAAAAGAGTACATGCAACAGGCTAAATTACAGAATTGGTTTCTCTCATTTCCCTGAAGGGTGGTTTATAGGTGGAGGGCTAGGTGGATCTATACAAGGATCTGCACAAGGGGTTCTCTTCTTTCCTTCTGAACCATAGCTAGAATATCCATGATTTAAAGGGGAAAGGAAAGGAGAATGGTCTTGGAACACAAAGTCTTGAATCCTGAATCCTAGTGGAAAAATGTGTCTTCAAATGTTCCCTTCTCAAATCCTTTGATTGAGTGGCCTTTGAATGACAGCACCTGGGCTAGGAATGTAAGGTGCATAAGTACAAGGGTGCCCTGGGGGGCCTGAATCCTCATTTGCAGCTCCCTGCAGAGACCACCATGCACAGGCTGTGCATCGAGTTTTCTGTGGGAAGGGAAACTGACCCCATTAGACCTGCCAGGTAAAGACTTTATAATTGCTTGTTGTTGGGTCTAAAAAAAAAATCACATATTGATTTTTCTTGGCAGTAGCTGGGTTCCTCAACCTCTGCTGCTGATGGCATATAAATAAATACAAGACAGTCCAGCAAAGGCTGAGAGATTATGTTGAGCACAAATGAGCCAATTATCATCTAAAGTGAATGCAAACTGCACTCCTTAAGCATCACTTGTGACACCCTTTTAATTTTTCTATTTCAGTCTTACATTTAATTTCTAAAACTTTTTTCCCACTACTCACATACTTAGATATCCATGTCCAGACAAGAAGAAACTAGTCAGACATTGTGCAATATGTATTTTGAAATTTATACCATATCATTTCAAATTTTTATAAACATCCAAAATATTTTATACTTTTGCATACCAAAGTTAAAAAGGGAGCAAAAATTCAACACACAGTTTCCTAGAAACATGAAGCTGTCCTTCTTAAATTGATAAAAATGACATCCAGAAAAGGAGTGATGATACACCTTCAAAATCCTATCTTCAGGGCTAGCGCCGTGGCTTACTTAGTTAATCCTCCGCCTGCAGCGCCAGCATCCCATATGGGCACCGGGTTCTAGTCCTGGTTGCTCCTCTTCCAGTCTATTTCTCTGCTGTGGCCTGGGAGGGCAGTGGAGGATGGCCCAAGTGCTTGGGCTGCTGTACCCGCATGGGAGACCAGGAAGAAGCACCTGGCTCCTGGCTTTGGATCTGCACAGCTTCAGCTGTAGCAGCCATTTGAGTGGTGAACCAACAGAAGGAAGACCTTTCTCTCTGTCTCTCTGTCTATAACTCTACCTGTCAAATAAATTAAAAAAAAAAAACCCTATCTTCAACTTGGCCTTCATATTAATATCACAAAGGGGCCAGCTCTACGGCTCAGTGAGTTAAACTCCCATCTACAGTGCCAGCATCCCATATAAGCACTGGGGTTAGGTCCTGGCTACTCCCCTTCTACTCCAATTCCTTGCTAACATGCCTGTGAATGCAGAGGAACATGGCCCGCATCTTTGTAGGAGAATTGGAGTAAGCACTGGGACCCTGGCTTTGCCCTGGCCCGGAACCAAGCTTGTGACCATTTGGGGAGTGAATCAACGGATGGAGGATCTCTCTCTGTCTCTCCTTCTCTTTCTCTGTAACTCTGCCTTTCAAATAAGTAAGTAAATCTTACAGAAATGCTGGAATTCATGATAATGACCATAACCTTAAGAATGGAGGGTATATTTTCATACCTGATATGATTAAGTGAAGCAATATTTTATAAATATAAACCAAATGATATGGCATCCACACAAGTTTTGTACTCTATATATTAACTTCCACAAACATGACAAAATATGATATTTCTGTGGTTCTGTGAGCCAGATTGTGGAAAAATTGTAGAAGAATTCTGGAGAGTTCTCTTACCACAACTATGACAGAGTCAGAAAAATTACTCCAGGCCCTGATGAAAATCTGGTCCTCTTTTTCATCTTGTCTAACTGAGATAGTCCAAAAATATACAAATTTAGATGTAACCACCCCAGCTGGGATTTTATATCTTCATGTCCAGTTCATTAGCCAATCAACACCTAATAAAAGATGCAAATTCTGAAACTAGGGAAAGGGCCCAAATCCCACCCCCAAAGGTGCTCCTAGATATGACCTTTAAGGTATATAACAACCAAGAGGGCCGGCGCCTCGTCTCACTAGGCTAATCTTTCACCTTGCAGCGCCGGCACACAGGGTTCTAGTCCCGGTCGGGGTGCTGGATTCTGTCCCGGTTGCACCTCTTCCAGACCAGCTCTCTGCTGTGGCCAGGGAGTGCAGTGGAGGACGGCCCAAGTGCTTGGGCCCTGCACTCCATGGGAGACCAGGATAAGTACCTGGCTCCTGCCATTGGATCAGCGCGGTGCGCTGGCCGCCGCGCACTGGCCACAGCGGCCATTGGAGGGTGAACCAACAGCAAAGGAAGAGCTTTCTCTCTGTCTCTCTCTCTCTCACTGTCCACTCTGCCTGTCAAAAAAAAAAAAAAAAAAAAAGGATGAGACAAAAGGAGAAAAAGACTGAGACAGATAAACCAGATATAGCATTCTGGCCTCAGCCATCCGAAACCAAAATCCATCTGCCCCCAACATCCCAACACCCAAAGGCAAGAGTCCTCCTGGTCTCTGCTTTCTCTGTAACCAGGCCAGACATTGGGCAAAAGCATGTCCCAACCTGAGGCCCCCAACCAAAGCTTCCCTATGTAAAGCCAATGGAATATGGACTGTCCCCAGGGATACCCTGGTGCCGCTGGTGATATCCTCCACCTGAGTTCTCACCAGCACAACTTGGAACAGTTTTCTAAACACCTGTCAAAGCTTCGAACTCATCCAAAGAATTCTGGGTCATTGGAATGGTGCTGAAAAGATGGTTTATTTGTCCTAGACACAGGGGCCTCTTTCTCTTTATTAACAGCATTCTCAGGCCTCTGGGCTCTGACACGTCCATTAAAGCAGTCGCAAGCATCCCCTTCAAAACAAAAATCACTCCACTCCTCCCCTACACCTTGTAATGCCACAATACCTCATTCCTCTAATTGGGAGAGCTCTTCTCTCTAAACTAAAGGTTTCAGTCTTCACACCACCACCTAACACCACCTAGATCTTTTGCCTACAACTCCACTCCCCTGACTGTCTCTGCCCACCCCTTCCCTTCTTTGTCCTACAATCTCCTTTTTCCTTCTGACCTGGAGGGCCCTGAGAAACGTCTCTTCAGACTCTCCCCAAAGGAGAGAACTGCTTTAGTCACTCACTTTCTCAGTCCTGCTTGTAATTTATGTTTCCCAGTGAATTCACAGCCAGAGCCCTTTGCCAGATCTCATCGCTAGGTGCCCACATTGGACCTCATTGTCAGCCCATCAGATCCATAGGTCAGCTCTTGTCTCCCCAAAGCGCACTAAGACAGGCCATTGTCCTCTACCTCCAGGAGGTCTAGGGTAGAATTTGGTCCCCTGTCCCCCTCCCTTTGGTCCTGGGAACAAGCGGAGACCTCTGGGAGGCCTAATATGGGTGGGCTGGTTCTACTTTGGGGCGAGGACCACTCTTCTCTGGAAGAAGATTCGATAGCTTGGGACTCCTTGGGGAATACCATAAGAGACCAAGCCCTCAATCTTTGGGCTCATTCTGCCAGATATGTGGGTTCTGAAATTCCTCACATTTTGCTTGACTCCCCTCTGGCCTGTCTCTTTAACTTATGCAAGTTGGGCCTAAATGGGCAGATAAGGCTAAAAAATGTCCAATAATTCGTCATTCTAACTCTCAAAATTCTTTATGACTTTACTAACTCTGCACAGAGAAACAGCAAATGGTCAGAGGTCCCCCCGTAAGGTCCAAGCCTTTGTCCTCCTCCAGGGTCACGTTTCCTGATTCTAAGCCCTGGGGCTGTACAAAGGCTTGGAGCCTCCTCTTGAATCTTCGATTTTTCCTTCTTAAACTTTTCTTCTTTCCTCAGGGTTGCGACAGCCTCTGGAACATGACCCTCTCCTCGCTCTGTCCTCCTGTCTGGCTCTTCCCTGCCCCTTCCCCTCAGTAGCAGCCAAAACTGCCTCTCTCTTCTCTTCCTGACCCCTCCTCCTTGTCTTGCCACTCTATCCCTGGGCGCAGAGGGATACTGCAAATGCTAGCAGAATGTTTACTGCTCTGAAAAGCCCCAAACCTGGAACATTTCAAACTGCAATGCATCCTAGACTTCACGAAGGCGCCACTCTTTCATCTTCTGCCCACCTTATCAGGGTGCATGTGGTGCTCTGCACCTCCCACAACAAGCGGTTTAAAAAAGACTCTGTCTGATGTCCATATGCAATGAAGCCTGACTTGGACACCTCCGCCCCCACCCCAGTCCTTTGCCCAGGCTAGCTCAGCCCCTAATCCCTCTTTACAAACTCCGCCCATTCTGTCCTCCCTAAAATAAAGTCTTCTCTAACTAGCTACTGCCTCTCCTTATATGAACCCCCAAATCCTAAAACTTAGCATAATGGAGCCACAACTCACACTGCTACTCTGTCTCACCTCTAAATTCTCTCTGTGCAAAGACAAAAGCTCTGTTCCAGCCATCTCCAGTATTATATTTGGAAATGCTCAAGAACAGGGAACCCATCTCACAGTACTCCTTCAGCCTGATTACCCTGCCCCAACTCTACCCGTTTCTCACAGCCATTCAGGAAGACCTGTGGACAACTACACCCTAAATCTCCTTATTTGACGATCTTCGACAACTGCTCTGAGATCTCTGACTCCAGGGTACTTTCATAGACTCCACAGATATCTTCATACCTTCTGTTTATACTTCATGTTGTCACCCCCTGTTACTGTCTGCAGCTGTGTAGTCCTAGCCCTAATCTATGCCATAGTCTTTGATGGCAGTTGTCTCCACTAGCTGGACTTGTGGTAAAGATTTTTCTTAACACTCTTTTATCTCTTCTGGGTAGGATGATTTTCTGCTATCTCCTGCTTCTAACCTGGCTCTCCCCATTTTTGTTTCTATTTGTCCCCACAACCTAATACATTTTTGGCCTTTTCAGGTATGGGGCAAGGATGTTATATTCCTCGGGGTCACCAACATCACAAAAATAGGTTCCTCGCCGGTTATTATTGAGTTCAGTGTTGCAAGGCTGCAGACTGAAAGTGAAAGGATGGAAAAAACTATTTCATTCTAATGGAAAGAAAAAAATGAGCAGCTGTAGCGATCCTAATATCAGACAAAATAGACTTTTATGCAAAATTTGTTAACAGAGAAAAGAAAGGCAATATTTGATGATAAAATTATCAACAGGAAAATGTGACTATAACAAATGTGTATGATGTGTATGCAACCAAAGCAAGGGCACCTGGCTATTTAAACCAAGTGCTAATGCTTCTAAAGGGAGACGTAGACTCCAATACAACAGTAATGTGGGACTTCAGTATCCCACTTTCATCAATGGAGAAATCAACTAGATGGAAAATCAACAAGAAACCACAGAACTAATCTACACTATGGACCAAAGAGACCTAGCTGATATCTACATAATCTTTCATCTAACAGTTGTGAAATGCACGTACTTTTAATCAGTGCATAGAGCTCTCTATGATAGTTCATATGCTAGGATGTAAAGTAAATCTCAGCAAATTCAAAAAGGTGAAAGCGTACCATGTATCTTTTTTAACTACAATGGAATGAAGTTTGAAATTGACAACTTAAAAATCTATAGAAAATATGCAAACATGGAGACTGAACAAGATTCTGAATGAAAACAGAAGAATCAAAGGAGAAATAAAAAATTCCTGGCAATAAATAAAGATTACAAAACAACATATCAAAACCAATTGCATACAACAAAAGCAGTGTAAAGAGGGACATTTATAGCAATTAGTGCCTACATCAAGATATTGGAAAAGCATCAATAAATGAACTACCAAGGCTCTCAAGGGCTTGGAAAAACAACAAATCAAACCATAATGTAGTAGGAGGAGAGAAATAAAGTAGAGAAGAAAAAAAAAACCTAAAATTGAAAAAAAATCAGTAAAATGAAGAGCTAGTTTTTTTGAAAAAAAAATTAAGAAAATTGATATAGCTTTGGCTTAACTTGTAACCAAAGGGGAGAGAGAGAGAGAGAGAGAGAGACAGAGAGAGAGAGAGAGAGAACCAAATTCCCAAATTAACAAAATCAGAGAAGAAAAAGGAGATGTAAAAACAGATCCCACAGAAATAAAAAGAATTATTATAATCAGCTATATGCCAAAAAGTTGGAAAATCTAGAAGTGACAGATTTTCAGACACATATTGCCTAGCAAAATTGAGTCTAGGTAGATCAATAACCAAGACAGAGGTTGAATGAATAATAAAGACCCTCCAAATAAAGGTAGCCCAGGACTAGATGGCTTCACTAGTAAATTCTACTGGATTTTAAAGTATTAATTCCATTCTTCTCAAGCCAATCAAAAGACTTGAAATAGAGGGAATATTCTCAAAGTCCAATGAAGCCAGAATCACCCTAATTCCTCAAAGAGAAAATGATAAAACAGATAAAGAGGACTATAGATCAATATCACTGATGAACATAGATGCAAAAATCCTCAACAAAATACTAACTAATGAAATCCAACAACACTTCAGATGGATTATTCACCTAGAACAAGTGAGATTCATCTGTAGTATGTAGGGATGGTTCAACATTCACAAATCAATAAATGTGCTAAATCGTATTAAAAAAATGAAGAATAAAAACCATATGATTACCTTAGTGGAAGCATAGAAAACATTTGATAAAAATAGATCATCCTTGGGCCAGTGCTGTGGCATAGTGGGTAAAGCTGCCATCTGCAATGCTGCCATCCCATATTGACACTGGTTTGAGTCCTGGCTACTCCTCTTCTGATCCAGCTCTCTGCTATGGCCTGGCTTCAGGCCATTGTGGCCAACTGGGGAGTTAACCAGCAGATGGAAGACCACCACCCCCCCTCTTTCTGCCTCTCCTTCTCTCTGTGTAATTTGACTTTCAAATAAAAATAAATAAATCTTTAAAAAAATTATGAATATGTCTCTAATATAATTGTCACCCACTTGATTCATAAGTTATTTATAAATCTGCTACTTAATTTGCAAACAACTACCAATTCATTACTTTTTTTTGATAAATCTTCTGTAGTCATATATATATATATATATACTACTATAGTTTTATAGTTTCAATTTTTGAAAATACTTGAGACATACCTCTGATCCATTATGTATCAATTGTGAGAATGTGCTATGTGAATTTTAAAATAACATATTTTGTTAGTCATTGGAGATAATTTTATACATATAAGTTAGGTCAGGTTTTTAAAATCCTGTTTATCAATTATTTTGTGTTTACTTTTTAATTTTTTTTCTTTCTCCATTGAAGCTATCCGTATTAGAATTTTGTTAAAATCTCTCACTCTGGAGATACGTTTGTGTATTAGTCCTTTCATATTTTTCACTACTTTTTTTTCCTTTCAGACTATCTTATCAAGCATACATAAGGGTAAATTCTTTGAAGTTTTCTGGCAGATTGTTGTTCTTATCATTATAAAATGTTTCTCTTTATATCCAGTAGTACCTTGACATTAAAATAAATACATGTCTATTTTGGTTATGTTCACAAGTATTATTTTGTTTCATAGATTTACTATTTCAACATCCTTTTATTTTAGATGTGAGATGATTACTAACTTCCCTCCCCACCAGAATATATGAAGTCCAGTTTATCTCCAGCTGGCCTTATGAAACTGCTGGAAGCTCTGTCCAAACTCTGCTTCGCAGGCAAAACTTTTGAAAAGACAAATGCTTCAGGGAGATTTGTTTTAAATATTGAAGAAAACTCTACATATTTCACTACACCAGTCTTCCCTGTCTCAATCACCCTGCTATGTTTTCCAAACAGATATATTTGATTTGTTTAGCTCAGCAGGAAATTTGGCGTGAAATGCACTACTCTGCCACTAGCATTAGTGGAAACTCTCCTATCATTGTACATTTCACATATTAACAGGAAACCTTGTTCTACACGTATGTCATCCCTGTTTAAAACTGGCCTACTGCTTCTCATTATGGGATGGAAGTCCCTGTGATGGCCTAGAGGGCCTTACAACATCTACCGTTGCCAATATGCTTCTGATATCATCTTGCTCTCATTCCTCTAGAAAGGTTCCAGATTTTTGTCTCTTTTCTGTTCACAGGATTTATTGGGCCTTCACTGACACATACCAGTCACATTCTTTATTCATTCTCTGAAAGAAAACTTCTTTCTCCAGATATTCTGAAAATTGGTTTCGTTATATCTATTTGTGTAAGTCAAATATCAATCAGGCATGTTTTGGTTATTAATATAACAAAATTTGATCCATACTCCACAGACTAAGCACTACCTAACCCTACTGTTATTTTATTTTTCTCTTTAGTTTGCGTGCTCAGCTAATACAGTCTATGATGTATTTTATTTGTTCATTTCTTATAAAATGCAATATTCATGTGATCTAGGGCTTGAGTCTGTGCTTTATTTTCTTATCGAACCACTGCAGCTAGAACAACCCCTCCCACATGATTGAACCCAATAGGTACAGGCTAAACAAATTAGAGTCAGCATTTGCTGTTTATAATGCCGAAGTATCTATGCAATTGAAATCTGAAAAATTATATTTATTTGTTAATTTGGGAACAAATGAAAAAAATGAGAACAAAATGAGAAAAAGGGAAGTAGGAAGGGAGGTACAGAGAGAGAGAGAGAGAGAGAGAGAAATCCCACATCCAGTGATTCACTTCCCCTTATATCTGAATGGCTGGTAAGAGCAAGGGCTGAAACAAGTATCCAGGAAGAATCCAGATATCCTATTCACGTGCTTGGCAGGAATGCACCTACTTGGACCATCACCACTGACTCCAGGGTACACATTTACAAGAAGCTGGAGTTAGAAACTGGAGTCAGAAATCAAACCCATGGGGGCCAGCATTGTGGTACAGTGGGTTAAGCTGCCATCTGCAATGCTTGCATCCCCTGTGAGTGCTGCCTCCAGTCCTGGTTGCTCACTTCTTTGGTTGTTGCTTCTTTAAATATTTAATTAGCTTTTTTTTTTTTTTTTTTGACAGGCAGAGTGGAGAGTGAGAGAGAGAGACAGAGAGAAAGGTCTTCCTTTACCATTGGTTCACCCTTCAATGGCTGCTTGCGGCCGGCACTCTGCGGCCAGCGCACCACACTGATTCAAAGCCAGGAGCCAGGTGCTTCTCCTGGTCTCCCATGTGGGTGAAGGGCCCAAGGTCTTGGGTCATCCTCCACTGCACTCCCGGGCCACAGCAGAGAGCTGGACTGGAAGAGGGGCAACCTGGAAAGAACCAGCGCCGCGACCGGGACTAGAACCCGGGGTGCTGGCTCCGCAGGTAGAGGATTAGCCAAGTGAGCAGTGGCTCTGGCCGGGATGCATACATCTTAACCAGTAGTCAAGTTTCTGCTCCCTAACTAACTAAATACTGTTTTTAGGTCCTTCTTACTGTGTAATTATGAGGACTATGTCATTTATAAAACAAATTTTGTGTCAATTTTGAGTGCTTACAAATATGATGTACTACACCTTCCTTTTTTGAAGAATATGCTGAATATATGTGAATTTGTCAACTGTGTGTATGTGAACCTGAACTGTAATTATCATATTGCACCTAAGAGATTTTGTCATTAGATGATATTATTTCTTTTAAATGAAGAGAGAGAGAGAGAGAGAGAGAGAGAATATATTTTGCTAGCTCACTTCCGAAATACCAACAACAGCCAGAACTGGGCCCTGCCAAAACCAGACCCAGGGAGTCCATGCAGGTTTCACATGTGGGTGGCAGGGAACCAAGTAGTTGAGCCATCATCTTCTTCCTCCAACGGTGCACACTCACAAGAAGTTGGTGTACCCAGCCATCCCACTTCTTGGAATTTATCCAAAGGAAATTAAATTGGCAAACAAACAAGCTGTCTGCACATTAATGTTTATTGCAGCTCAATTCACAATAGCTAAGACCTGGAACCAACCCAAATGACCATCAAAAGTAGACTGGATAAAGAAATTATGGGACATGTACTCTATAGAATACTATACAGCAGTCAAAAACAATGAAACCCGGTCATTTGCAACAAGATGGAGGA